ACCGAATTTCAGAAATGTTGAGAATCCCTTGGGTTTTCGGACCCAGACCCCGCCGATCTGCGTGAGGGGTGCCACCGAATTTTAGAAGTGTGCCAAATCCCATTTGTTTTTGGACCCTAACCCCGCCGATCTGCGTGAGCGGTGCCAGCAAATGTTAGAAATGCGGCGAATCCTGTGTGTTTTTTGCACCCTGACCCCGCCGATCTGCGTGAGGGGTGCCACCGAATTTTAGAAATGTGGCAAATCACATGTGTTGTTGTACCCTGACCCCGCCGATCTGCGTGAGGGGTGTCAATTTTTACCCACCCCAGCAATTCAGACAACACGCTCAGGGCGTGCTGAACCTGCCCGTTTGGGCCTCCCCCCCCTCGCGCGGTCCATCAACAAGGGACAGTGAGCAGCAAGAAGCAGAACTGTAACAGTGGAAACTGGAAGCTGCAACTGGGACAGGAAACTGCGAACCTTCGGCCTACAGCCTGGTGGCCCCACAGGGGGGCCGGCGGATTTTCCTGTATTTTTGTAGGGTTTTTTCGGGCTCTCGCCTTATCATGCCCAGACGGGCTCCGCACGGCCCACGAGGTTTCAAAGCTTGTCCCCAGACGGCCCAGGAGGCCATCCAAAGAGGCGAAAACGGTCTAGGAGGGCCCCCAGACGGCCCAAGAGGGCCCCAAGACAGCTCCAGATGGCCCCAAGAAAGCCCCAATCCAGCCCCAATAGAGCCCCACGAGGCCGAACGGGGCTCCCAAGAGGGCCCCACGAGGCCCCCAAGAGAGCCACAAGACGGCTAAAGGCTTCCAAGACGCCCCTAGACGGGCCAAAAGGGCCCCAAGATGGCCCACAGTGGCCCCAAAAGGGCTCCCGAGGGGCTTCAAAAGGGCCCCACGAAGACCCCGACGAGGCCCAAGAGACGCTCAAAGACCATGGCTCCCATCAGCGAGTGGTGACGTAACAAGCTCTTGACACCAAGGCCCCCAGAGCGCGGTGACGTACAACGCTCGTCACACCAAGGCTCCCAAGAGCGAGCGGCAACGTAATCCGTAGCCATTTTGGCTCAAGGATTTTGGCTCCAGGTGGATTCCCAGCAATCCAGGATGCACCTCAGATGGCCCCAAAGCGGGCAAACATCTTCCGAGTGCATCTCCGATGCCGCATCAAACGCAGAGGCTCTGGCTGGTGATGACCCATCGACACCGGTCGGATATCACGAATATCATGTTGGTACCATAAGCGAGACGCCCCAAGCATCGATTCATGTCCTTCGTAGGGGCCAAGGGCATTTACAAGTAGAGCAAGGTGTTTTTTTGCGCGCAGAAGCTTGGAATGCTGAAGGATATGGCACAGTGGACAACGCGGTGTCCGGAATGACAAACGAGCGTAGTGTCCGCGTTGAATGAAATGGACTCGATGGTGCTCTGGGTGATGCCACAGTGATATCCGATGCTGAATCCGAATCTGATTCGAGTTCCAGTTCAAATACACGTACTTCTCTCGACGCGTTAAGACTGGCTTTAGCACGCCAGCTTCCAAGGAATCTCATTGCAAATATCTGGTCAAGTGCAGGAAGTCGCACAAGCACTGCCGCCATCTGCGAGGAACCCCCTGACCCTGGCGTTTGGGCATCTGTTGCGAGACTGCCCAGGCCAATGCTTCATAGGGTATTATCGCCGTTGTCGAGAGACAGCGATCCTGAGATCTCCTTATCTGACTCACAGGATCCATTTCTCGCTGAGTTGCAGGAGGACATTGGCCAAGCGGTCGTTCTGCATTTCCGCTGAAGTCTTCGCCGTCTCGCTTTGCAGGTCGTGGTCTGCCGACTCAAGGCCTGTCGGCGTCATGCGTCCCATCCTGCGGACGCGAGTCCTCTGCAGCAGCCCCAGGGCTTGCAAAGGCAGACATTTGACGCATTTGCCAGGCCAATCAGGGAGGCTCAATTGTTCCCCCAGACGCCGTGGCCCATTATATATGTGCTCGCCCCCCCCCCCCCGCCTGTTATCATACCTTTCACCTCCTCTCGTAACCTCTTCCTCTTCATTCGCCTCCTCATCCTTCCTGATTCCTATATCTACATATATATATAGAGCTCTCTCTATTCGTATATTTGTTTATCAATTCATGCTTTATGCCGGCTCGTTGTATGATTTCTTCAGAATAGGTGCTTACGGCGGGCTTGCTCAGAGCTGGTTGCAGACGTCCACGCCGCCCCCTCACTCTTATCCGCCAGTGCGCGGTTCTACGGTATCTTCCATTATATGTCCCATCGCTCAGTTACACGCTCATGCGTGCAGTGTGGTCGGGCCATGGGAACGCCCAGGGCGTAGCAGATGTCTCGGCTTACCACCCTGTTTTCGACTTGGCAGTGGAGCTGTCCTCACTCTGTGGCTGGCTCTGATCAGCACCGGTAGGCTTCGAATCTGAAGTTGTAGTATCGCCTGCGACCAAACTTGTCCGAGATGCTTGCAGTTGCTAGGTGGTGTTTCAAAGCGTCCTGCGTCAACATGCG